GTCTTAGGTGAGTCATAGTGTGTCAGCCTCAGTTCCACATGGTCTTCCATGATTAATGCCAGACGCTTGTGGTATTTAAAGAAGTGTGGTGGGCTTGTTTTCTACTAGGTTTAAAAAAAGAACTATTCACTTCAGGCTAATAAGGGCATTGAAACTAGACAGGAATTGTAGAAATGGTCTCTTGAGATTATTGGCTCATTAGCATCATCTCTGCTACATAATTTTTTAATTAAAACGTTGACGTGCCTTACAGCTTTGTCTCACCAACGCAGTCACTCATTCCTGCCCACTTTATTCGTGGTGTCACTTGCATTAACCATTTTCCTTCACACTCTCTGTTTTTATCAGTATGTTCCCTAATACTATGATCTCATAATCCCTGCATATAAGCACAGGATGTGAGTGTGTGTTTTGGTTTGATTTCTGGGGTTGTAGAGAGGAACTGTCAACAAAGGTACTTGTGGGGTTTGGCTTGACTTTTTTTCTAATTGCATCCAGCGTGAATCTGATCGTGCCATGATTTCTTCTCTGGATTTTTCAGTTACGGAAAAGTTTTTCTGCATCTTGACGCCCAGATGTAAATCTCATTCAGACCTTCCTTTTGGCACCTAGTGCTGAACTTCACTCCAGTAAGAAGAAAGTGGCAGGACAGGGTCTGTAGGGATGTAAATACATGGAAATGAGGTGTCCTCCTTGCTGCGGTTTAAAGAGATCTTGGATATAGAGAGCTGCAACACTTATTACTGTAAATGTAATGGGGAGAGTGGGGTATAGCTCTAGAACAGGCTTGGCCAAACTTGGCCTTCCAGATGTTCTGGGACTACAACTCCCATCATCCCTAGCTAACAGGACCAGTGGTCAGGGATGATGGGAATTGTAGTCTCAAAACATCTGGCGGGCCAAGTTTGGCCATGCCTGCTCTAGAATAAAAGAATGCTATCAGAAGGTAAGTTGGTAAATAAAAATTACTTCCATCTGATGTGTTTCAGATATTTTGGTTCTCTAGAAAATATAGCTGTAATAAGTTCAGTGCATAAGGAAAGACACAGACTGAAAACTATTGTAGACTTTTTATCAGCAGGTGTATCAAGCGGTGTGCTGCTATGTTAGCTCATTTTAAAACTTGGTTAATGAGAAACACAGTAACAGATCTCAAACAGACCCCTGGGTATAGGACAGAATATAAATTCAGTAACAACAACAACAACAACAATATAGGGAATGTTGCAAATTTGAAATCTACCCAATGGTTGGACTGTATCAATTATTAAGATTAATCTTTGCATTAGAGATGCTTAACTTATTTTGGGGAAAGTTTCAAGATAGGCAGAGCCCAGAATTCTTACCACTGACCACAAGGCAATCATGCACAGTTTGAAATGAAAGAGCTGTTGGGTAATATGAAGTTTTCGGACTGTTTTGGAATGGTTTGAAAAATATCAAAAGAAGGCATAATTAAGTCATGCTATCCAATAGGATATGGGTTGAGCACTGATCCTTTCCCTCCAGTATTGCCGAGTAAGACAGATATTTAACTATTTATTGACATGATATGGATCACTTAAGAGACTGCGCAAAGTTTGAAAAGTTAATGCCAGCTGTTGGCCTAACAGGAGGAGTATTAGGTCCAATTTACAAAACTAGCTCTAATTCAGAAACAGTGAAAAAATAAATAAATGCCAGGTATAATGGGAGGCAGATTTATTAAAGTAAATCCCTGATCAATTATGGAAGTGGATGTGGAAAAATACACAGTATTTTACATATACTACATTACATTCAACAGGCATCAAGACTGAATAAAATTTACCCAAATGTAAGCAATTTGGGCTGGTGCTGTCAAACTTCACGTGCAAATTTACTCCATGTTTTTTGGACCTGATTTACATTACTATTAGTACCCATTCCTCACAGGGGCATTTGCCCTGTCTTTCCTCAGTTGTCCAATCACTGCTGCATCTTGTGATTTATTTGTGGTGGCAGGTGTTTTGCATCTGCCTCATTTTCCTGCAGAATCATAGAATGACCTCGAAAGGTCATCTAGTCCAACCAAATCCTTATCAGCGCAGGAAACTCACTACAACAGCATCCTTGATAGGTAGCCATCCGCCTTAAAAACTTCTAACCAAGGGTACAGTGCCTTCTAAGGCAGACTGTTCCACTGTCAAACAGCTTGGACCACCAGGAAGTTCTTCCTAATGTTTGATCCTAGCATCCATATTGACATTAATTTAATTATGACTTGGTCCCTTTAGTCTCACCCTTCTACTATAATTGACCATGCTGTTGTCCTGTGCACATTACTTTTGAACTTCGCTAGCTGTTTAAAGTAGGTTTAAAGCAATGAGTATTGGTCTGCTTAACCCAAGTAAAAGGTAAAAAGGGCCATCATTTATTTTTTTACAAAATGACACTCTCCCTGTCACCTTCATCACAGCTAAGTTGTACATCTGCACCAAGCTTGGCTGAGAATGGAATATAGATTTCAAAGATAGCCTCCTGCCAAAACAAGGAGATGGGGGAATCTTTCAGTTCATTTTTTAAACATGGGTACTCAGCACTAGAGAGAACTCAGAGTTGTGCCACATTTCCCAGATATTATGGTTCTTTCTAATAATACCAGGATGTTCTGTAGAAACAATTTTTTTCCTCGAATAGAGCAGAATAGTTTCAGACTAATGCATAGTACCAATTTGTTGGTTCATTAAAATCTTTAGCTTGTCTTGTAGATTGATAAGACCTCAGTCCTGTACACACTTACCTGGGAGTAAATCCCACAGAACTCAATGGGACTTCTGGATAGACTTGCATAGGATTGTGTTGCAATTCTCTTGCTACGTAAGGAGCTGTTTATTGGATAGGGGAGACTAATCTATTGATAACTTGCGCCATAAATCTGTTTTTACAAGGGGGAAGATGACTAATTTATTTTCCGGTAACAGAGTAAATTTATTGCAGTTGACTAATATTATTCTCAACAGCACCAGGATTCTGGGCTGCCTCTGCTTCTCAGCCAAAGTCGCATTCCAGAGTTCCCTTGAGCTCACTTGTACTAACACCAGTTATTTGCAAGCAGACTGCATTTGGGCTGCTCTGAGCCTTTTCTCAGTTTTTAGAGAATTAGGAGGCATAATTTCATTCCCTTCCAGGTTTTGCTTTGTGGTCAGGTGTTTGCTTCCTCCACAGAGTTGGTGTACCTGCAGTCAGCTGAGTTCCCTCTGCTTAACATCTCAGAAAGTACAAAGTGTGCCCAGTTCCATTTAGGGCAGTGGTTCTCAACCTGTGGGTTGTTGGACTACAACTCCCATCATCCCTGAGCTCTGGCCTTGCTAGCTAGGGGTGATGGGAGTTGTAGTTCAACAACAGTTTGAGAAAGGCTGATTTAGGGTAAAACAAGCAACGAGTTGGAGCCACTCCCCTAGGAGAAAAGGCTGCAGCATTTGGCTATTTTTTTAGTTTAGAGAAAAGGCAAGTAAGAGGTGACACGATAGACGTTTACAAAATTATACACAGCATAGAGAAAGTGGATAGAGAAAAGTTCTTCTCCATCTCTTATATAGCATTAGAACTCGTGGGCATCCAATGCAGCTGAATATTGGTAGATTCGGGGCAGAGTGAAACAATGTGCTATTTCATGCAGCACATAGTTAAATGATAGAACTCGCTCCCACAGGAGACAGTGATGGCCACTAACTTGAATGTCTTCAGAAGAAGATTCAACAAATCCAAGGTGGATAAGGTTATCAGCAGCTGAGAGCCACAACGGCCATGTCATACCTCCACTGTCAAGAGGCCATATTCCAGTTCCTGGGAATTGCAGGTGGGCAGAGTGCAGTTGTGCTCAGGTCTTGCTTTGCAGGCTTCTCTTAAGCATCTGTTTGGCCACGGTGAGGCTAGACTAGATGGACCACTGGCCTGATGCAGCAAGCTCTTCTGATGTTCTTAAGTTTTGTTAAGGAAAGTTAAAAGGACGTTCTCTTGGGTGGAATTGAATTACGCTGGGTTAAAAGGCTTGCAAAGAAATTGAATATTGAAGCACAGACTCCAGTCTTGACCCAATGTAGCTTGTTTTGGCCTGGATTCAAAGAACTGTGCAACTTACTCAATGCATCCCAGGGAGCGTTAGCCATGCCAAATGGATTCCTTCCCTTTTTGAGCAGCAGCCCCACCCCACGTTTACACAGCAAACCTGTTTTGGGATAGAACTTTTAGAAACAAATTGTGATGTTGCATATTGAGACGGGAGTTTTGGGTGGGGTGAGGTGTCTGTCTTTTAAAGGGAGAACATTACACCAGGCATGTTAAAGCCCCCTAGGTGTACTTAAAAGCATCTCTTCCACCTAAAGCACTTAATGTTCTGTTTAAATATTGAATAAAAAGCATTACAATTAAACTGTAAAACACAGCACAGACTCAGATTTGATTTTCTACTTGCGGCGATCATCCCAAGATTTGCCCTTCTCCCAACATGTATAATTTAAACTTGTTCAGATAATACAATAATTGCCCCATTTGTTGCAGATTATATCCTATCGCTTTTGTCCTGGGTTTTGCTAAGTAATACGCAGAGTAGCCATCATAAGCTGCTCTATGCCTGGGGGAGTCCCGTTCAGCTTTCCTTTTAAGAAATATTCCAAGGGAGTATTACTTCACTGTTCACACTGACCTTTGCAAGATTTCAGCCCCAAACCCCAAATGTCAGCAATAATTGGACTTTGGTATCAGTCACAAATGTAATAAAACCTGTGACATTTGCAGCTTCAGTCCATAAGCGTGTTTGGCTCCAAAGCATCTTGCTGCCAAGTGATGCAATGGCATAATCATCCTACCCCCTGAAAAAAGTAGCTTTTCCTAACTTGTGATACAATAAACCACATTTCTTGTGCTTTTTGTAGTATCCAAAAAACCTTTGTGACGTATCTTAGAATAATAGAATCATACAAGTTAGAAAGGACCCTGAGGATCATCTCACCCAACCCCCCCCCTGCAATGCAGGAATATGCAGCTGTCCCTTACGGGGATCGAACCTGTAACCTTGTTGACGTTATCAACACCATGCTCTAACCAACTGAGCTATCCATTGCCGATCTATTTCTTATTACATTCATATCCTGGCTACTGTCCAAGGAGCTCATGGTTGCTTACGCCCCCTCCATTCCAGTTCACCCTTACAATAACACTGGGAGGTGGGTTAAAAAGGTAAAGGTAAAGGACCCCTGACAGGTAAGTCCAGTCGCAGACGACTCTGGGGTTGTGGTGCTCATCTCGCTATACAGGCCGAGGGAGCCGATGTTTGTCCGCAGACAGTTTTCCCGGGTCATGTGGCCAGCATGACTAAGCCGCTTCTGGCTCAACGGAACACTGAAACCAGAGCAGCGCACGGAAACGCCGTTTACCTTCCTGCCAGAGCGGTACCTATTTATCTACTTGCACTAGAGTGCTTTCAAACTGCTAGGTTGGCAGGAGCTGGGACCGAGCAACAGGAGCTCACTCGGTCGCTGGGATTCAAACCTTCTGATCGACACACCCAAGAGGCTCAGTGGTTTAGATCACCGTGCCACCCGTATCCCCTGTGAGGTGGGTTAGGCTGAGTAATAGTGGCTTGTTATCCCCCACCCCACCCTAATTATTCAGAACAAGAAGCACATTGCTTTCCCAACACAATTCCTTATTTCTGCCCCCAAAACATGGCAGGATAGCTTTAAGCTTTTCTCTTTTAGAACGGAATCTAGCTACTTAACACTGCAAACACAGTTGTTGTGTGAAACTTTTTCAGGATTCTGGTCTCCCTCTTTGCATTTTTACTGATGCATGGGAGCTGCCATGTGCTGCTCAGTTGACCTGAAAATCCCCCAGGCCATGTGGGAGGATGTTGCAGCAGCCCTTCCCCAAAGCAGTGTTGTTCCTAGAGCAACCAGAAACTACAGCAACGCCACTATGGGGAGGAGCAACAAGGTGAGCTACTCATAGCCATTCTGCATGACCTCTGAATGGTTAGGGGGAAGAAACCTGCATAAGCAGCTTTTGTCTGCAGACGAGCATTTTAATGTTCAAATTAGCACCATTTAGCTTTTTATCATTTTAAAGCATTTTGGTAATACTTATTTCCTGTAATTTTTGAAAGCGATCCCCTTGCACGATAAAAAGAGAGGTTTCTTCATAAGCATGCAGTTCAACTTTTGAAAGAACCATAAAAAAAGAGAAACGATCAAGCATCATATTCTCACACATTTGCTTCCTATTAAAATAAGATTGCTTATTACTCGTTCTGATCAGTCATCCTTTTTACTGCTTCGAATGGACCAACGCGAAAACATTTTTGACACTATAGATTTGTAAAACCAATATGATGTGAATGCTGTGTGACAGAAGTTGGCTGTTTTATTGAGGGGGGAGAATCCCAAGTTGGAGAATCTTGTCATTCTAGAGAGACAAAAGTAATTTTCCTTATATTGAAGCCTTTTCACTGTTGACTACATTTTTGACAGCTGGCTTCATGTTACACATTAACAACACTTTGTTTATTCATGAATAGCTTTGGCACACTATGTGCCCAAAATAGAATATTTCTCCGTATGCAAGCAAAGCTGTCTTGTGATTAAGAAGCAATGCAACGAAACAGTGTTAAACTTGAACATTAGTGCTCCAGAATATCAGACTTTTTAAAAATTAAAACAAAGAACAAGCAATATATTTTTGTTGAAACTGGTGGAAAGCATTGTTCAAAGACAGAATTGCCAAGCATGCAGAAGAACAAGTCTTGCCCAAGCAGAACCAGCATGGCTTTTGCAAGGGCAAGTCATGTCTCACAAACTTTTTAGAGTACTTTGAGAGTGCCAGCAAGCACATAGATAGAGGCAATTCACTTGGCATGCGCTTAGATTTCTGAAAAGCCTTTGACATTCTACCTCACTGAATACTCCTGAGTAAGCTTAGCTGTCGTGGAATAAGAGGAAGGCAGGGTTAAATCTTGTATAGTATGTGCCACCCTGTTCCAAGCAGGGAACAGGACTGCGCGGCCTAGGCAGCAGAATTTAATCTATTTTCCTTTAAGTGGGTGGGGTGCACCAATGCTACTTCTCACCCATTTAAAGGAGAAACTGAGCAAAATGCTCTTTGAACCAGCCTCCCTTTGCAAAGCTGCAGAGGGGATTTTGGCAGGTGGGCAACCCTGCTGACCTGTCAGATTTGGCCTGTGAGGCCAATCCTGCTCATGATGTGGCCCATGGAGCCAAAAAGTTTCCCCACTCTTGCTTTATTAAACCAATGAGAAAACCCACATCAGGGATCTATTGCATGGGTACAGTTAGCTCCTTACCTAAACAAAACACTGGAGGACAGAAGGTGACAAATTTGAGTGACAGGAGGCACATGAAAGAGCACCTTGAACAAAGCTACCGCCAAAAAAGCTAGCACCACAGAGTGGTCATGAAGCCATAATACTAAGCCCTGGGGTCCATGGGGCAGAAGGGTGGTGCATAAAATTAATAAATGATTAGGATAGGATGCCACCCTGTACTGAATCAGACCATGGGCCCATCTAGATTATCATACTCAACACTGCCATACCCAAAGCCTTAAAACCACCACAGTCCACTTCTGTTGTTGAGCTCTCTGCGGATAGCGGCATCACCACTTGCCATGTCTTTCAGTATGCATGCATGGAGGAATGAGAATGTACACCTGATATTTTAGAAGCTTCAGGTTTTTTCCCTTTGTATGTCTGTGGAGGGGAGGCAGCTTAAGGGATCCGCTGGGAAGGAAATTGCTAAGTGCCTTTCTAGGGGATAGTAAACACAAAAAGGGTTAGATTAAGCTAATGGCTTTTCAAGTGCTGGAAATAGTCTGAAGGGGAATAGCCGCTACCTAATAACACAGCAGTGCAATTTTTGCTCCACCACAAAGAGTTGCATGTTTTAAAGTGGCAGCAACCACTTGGCAGATATCTGAACTTGTGCTGTAAGAGAAAGAAAAGATACCCCTTTTCTGTGGATATACTGGGATGGTATAGTGCAAGCATATGTTCTTAGTATGTGGGTTCAGATGGGGATCACAAGACTGGGTTGCAGAAGAATTTAGACTGAAATTATTGTCGAGTGCTGGCCAACAGCTCTTTTGCTGTCTATTACGTATTCTTACTTTTTGCTTCTGTTGTATGAGTCAACCTTTAGCTAGTTTATAAACTCTTTTAGTACAGCGGGGGGCAGGGGGACAAGCTAATTTGCAGGATGTGGTGATGCCAATTTCAAGCAGGCAGAAAATGGCAGCAGTGTCTAATTATATTGACACTGAATGAAAGTATGGCAAATGATCTCTCTGGTTGAATCTCTTGTCCCTGTGCTGTCTATGCAGGGAATGCATAAACATTAGTTACTTAAAATGGCTAAAGCAGCTAGGAGAGAAACATCTGGGAACCAGACCTTTCCTGTGGAACCATTCCAAAAAACTGCATTGTGTTTCCTTTACTGTAGTAAGTCACACTGAAACAACTTGCTTTGGGTTTCTCTCTCCCCCTCTCTCCCCTGAATTCAGAAATGAATCTACCCAAAGAACAGGAAACAAAATTCAGTGTTCTAAACCCACAAATTATTCACAAAGTAGGAGGTACAGTGGCTCATTCTGATGCTATCTATGTTGCCAAGTCACATTTGTCACAATTAGAGATATTTAGTTTTCATGAATGATTCTTAAATCAAGATCCCTCCCTCCTGATAGATATGCATGGGAGATGTCACATGATATGATTAGTTTCTGCTTCATTCTGCTAATATTATGCTTAAGGCACAGAATATTGTGTATGACAAATTGTTCTTAAAGTAGGGCAACTTTTTATTGCAGGCTTTTGTGTGTACGTGTGTGCACGCTTGGTCATTTATTAATGAAAACTATTTACCCTTGTCATTCATTAGCTATATTTTAGCGTGAAGCTTATAGTTCGTAATGTAAATCTGTTGAACTACTTGGTGAGCAAACATTTCTAAATTGCTGCAAATCTGAGTATAGGGTATGATGTGGAGACACAAAACACACGGGGGTGAATAATTTTGCTTTCAGTTTATAGTGAAGCAGAACTTTTTGTGCTTTGCTTTGTGTTGCCATGTGTGAATGACACCCAGCGGTCAGGAGTTAACCATAACATTTTGAACCACATTTTGTACGTCGTGTTTCTTTATGGATCCATTGGATTCATGCCGTTTTGTTTTGAACCTGTAAAATGCATTTCAGTTAAAAGGGGTTTTGACTTCCAGTGTCTTGTGTTCTTTGCAGGTCCAAGGTAGAATGCCGTCTTCTGTCAGGGTCTCAAAACACTTTAAAAATCAAAACATATGGGCTTGACCCAGGTGATTCTAAACATGTGAAAAATCGCTGGTCATAAATCTTTGGGAGTAGCTGTTTGTGAGAGGAGCAGTTAAAATTAATAAGAGCCATTTTGTTCCTCCTTTTGCCTTACGGTTTCCACCTGCTTGATGTCCGCTATTTTAAATGGTAAGCCATTTTGGACAGGCGCCAATCTGTTTGTGCCAACACAGTGATTACTTGCAGGTACAAGGGCTGCAGAGTGTGTGTGTGTGTGTGGAGAGTCCCACCACCCACAGAACCTTCTCGTTTATTTATACTCTCTGCCTTACTGTAAAGTGCACACAGAAATCCACATTTGCAGGCGCTTCGTCTACACATTAGGAGTGTGGATTGCAAATGCCAAGCATCAAGGGAAACAGATGTTTGAGAAGTTGGGCCAAAGTTAGTTTAAAGTTGAGGCAAAACATTACTGAGATGGCAGACTCTTTATAGTTTGCGGTTTGGCAGGCATCCAGTAGGGAATTCATCTATCTGTATGAAAAATCAATGGTTCCTCTCGCCATGAGCCTAACAAATGCAGAGGCTTGGCACATATATGACCGTATGCTGTTTGCATTTCTGATTTGTGAATGGACTGAGTCCCAAGAAGGAGTGCTTGGCAGCGCATCCAGCAATTGCGGCTGCCAGTTTTGATCATGCCATATAGATTTGGCTGAAATGCCAAGCACTGGGAGCCAATGGTATATGGAATATGAGCTGGAGGCATTCTAGGAAGCAAGAAGGA